CCCAGTGCCGGGCAGATGGGAGCACTGAAGCTGGCAAGCGGTTGTCACTGCCATGCAGGCAATCCGGGGAAGAGAGCGCAGTGAACCCTGGGCTGCCCCGGGCGCATCTGTGCCTAGCGGTGCGTGCAGGCTGACAAGGAGGACGGGCTGTCATGACTTCACCAGGAAGGCTGGGCAGTACCCAGCCACCACCTCTGCATCTCATTCTCAGAAGTGGTTGGTATCAAGCTGAGTATTTCAAAATGAGGCGCAGGGGTCTACACCTTTCAGTGAATAAAAGCAGGTTTTGCAGAAGTACTTACGAACACTAACCTCAACATTACTCTGGACTTTTTTCCTTCTAAAAATGTAATGTGTCCGCTCTCCTTGAGTGCAGGCTGGGCATAGGGACCTCTTCCCACAGACCACAGCTCTGAGAGGGAGAAAGAGAGTGATTTGCAGGAGAGAAACGCTACCTGAGCCAGGCGGTCAAGGTCACGGATCCGCAGGCGCAGATCATGGTGATGAGTGACACTGAAGGGGACTCTGCCCTCTGTCACCTTCATGCTCAGCTTCATCAGAGAAAAAATCAGCTAAACCCCAGTTTAGGAATATTCTACAGAAGTCCTGACCAGACCTCCTCAAACCTGTCAAACGCGCAAAAAAACAAGGGAAGTCCGGGAAGCTGCTGCAGCCCGGAGGAGCCTAAAGAGATGCAGGGAGTGCCTGTGACGAGAGGGGACAGGCAAGGGCGTCGGGGAAAACCACGGAGATCTGAAACAGCTACAGACTGAAGTTCATAGTAACGTGGCGACGCTTGTCCTCGGACTGCGTCACGTGCACCACGTTAATGCAGCTGTTGGCAGCAGGGGAAGGGGGCGCAGAGCACGTGGGGCGCGTCTGTGCTCCCCTGCGATTTCTGTGTAAATGTAAAATTATCCTAAAAATAAATTTCGTTTAAAAATTTAGTCTGAACGCCAGAGTCGGTGCCCTAAGACAAGGGGGTGGGTGACGCTTCAGCTAATTATCCTGCACTTTTCAGTCTTTGGGGACAAACGTTCTGCAGTTTCCTTTTCCATGTGCAAACACATCGTTTGCCCACCCCACTGAGAAATCCTCGCTGTTCTAACTTGTATGAGGGAATTCAGTGCATCTACGAGGACGAATTTTACCTACCCGTCCATTTCTTTGTAGCGGAAGATAAAGCTGGGATGCATTGAATGAAATGCAGGAAATACAGGTGGGAAGGGTGTTTAACTATAACCTTTTCCCCCCAAATCTGACTGCATATACAGCGCGTCAGGCGTTGTGCCCAGGTCTGGGTCTCTGCCAATCTGCCTGCGGGGCCGTCAAGGGCAGGCAGAGCGCCTCGGGCACTGGAGGCCGCGTCCCTGACCGTCGCAGCTCACACGAAGCTGCTTTTCCCTGGAGAGCCCAGGCAGGTCGCCTAAGCCTCAAAGGCACAGGAAGAGAAGCTCAAACTCCTCTGCTCGCTGCTTTTGCAAAACTCAACCCACTTGGCTAGAGTCAGGGAATTTTTTCCAGTTCCCAGATATCCACTTCAGTTTAAAGGAATGACAGTAACAGACAATCACGTATATACAACTTACTTGCTCACACTCACATACATCACTTTCAGCAAAACCAGGAGGAGAGAGCAGGGTTTGGACTCAGATACCGCGGTGTGCACACGCGTGGGCGCACGCGCACACACACACACACACACACACGGACGCGCACACACACACAGCATTATTTATTGGACAAACGGATGAGATGCGTGGTGGGGGCTGGGACTCAGGAAGGCAGAAATTAGCCATTTTAACTCTGATAAGCACATTGCTCTCTGTTTGGCCAAAGATGCACCCAGATGACCACTAAGAGCGCAGTCACGCTTTGCTGGGCACGTGCTGTATCTGTATTAAATTTCCTTTATGCTAAAGAAAGGAGACCATGACTTGTTTCCAAGTGACGTCCTGTCTGGCCCCCCGTCCACCGAGCGGGAATGAAGCCCGCACAGCTCTGTCTGACGTGCGCCCCGACCAGCGGGAAGAGTCTACAGTGATTCCCCGCGGGAGTCAGAGGAGGCTGTGAGCGTGATCTTTGATTGACTGCATATGCAACCTCCGGATAGTCCATTTTTCCCCCTGCAAAGAATGCCCCGCAGCGGAGCGAGTTTTGAGAGCGTCCAAGAAGCCGTATGTCCGCAACGATTCTCCTGACGAGATAAGCAGCGACAAGAGCTGATTGAGGGAACACAAGATGTTCCTTTTGGACGGCCCAGCAGACGGTTCTCCTGAGTGTGCGTTTCATTGTCACTGTTAATGCTAGTCCATCACCACCCTGCTTCTTCTGGCTAATCTGGAGGCCACGTTCTCCCTACTTCCGAGTCGACCCGCTAGAGCAAACACACCTGTTTCGAGCGCCACGTGGTGGGCCCGCTTCAGAGGGGTTCGCATTATTAACCATGTTTGCACACCACTGCTATCAGTCTTGGTTTCCTGTAAAATAAAGGCTTTACCCTCTCCTTTGCAGGAACTTCTCAGTGAACAACTCCAGTTTGCCCCTGCTACCTCGTTACCCAGCCCTCACCCTGCAGGCAGGCTGGGACTGTTTTCCATTTTCCGTAAGGACACTTGAGTCTCTGAGCGATGACCAGATGTCCAGCTGCAAGCAAGAGAGAGGGGCTGACTCCAGGGCGTCTGTGGTCAAATCCCATGTTCTTTCCTCTCTATGAACTCATCACAAATTGTTTCCAGTTCATTCGAGGCACGTGGAATTGTTGAATGGTCATTATGTGTTCTATTTGAGAAAAGCAGTGACCAGGAAATAAGCGTCTCTGGTTCCCAGTGACCCTGGGTTCAGTCTCCGCTTGCCTCTTTCACTTGTGCTGAAGAGCTGCATAAACCACGGGACGTGGGAAATCTGCAGACACGGGGCATCACTCAGGGCTAGTCCACTCTCACGTCTTCCCGTTCACCTTCCTGAAGCCTTCTTCCCACTCTTTGTCTGCGCCCTTTGCTGGGCATTCCTAGTGTAAGGGGTCAAGGACGGGAGACGTTCCCAGGTCCCCCAACAGGGATGAGTCCGCATGCGGAAGCGGCTGGGGGAGGACGGAGTCCCAGAGGACCCGTGGGGCGCTGCGGCCTGCTAACGGGATGGCAACGTGCGGGAAGGCCAGAGGCGCCCTCGGGGAGCTGACGGAGCCTGAGAGCTCCCAGCGGGGTCCTGTGTCCTCCAGCAATGGGGCTGCTGAACGGAAGGGGTGAAGCCAGGGCTCAGGCGGGCGTGTGAAGCCCGAGTTCGAGGGAGACGCAGAGTAACCCTCAGTGAAGGCCTGGTTGGCTCTTGCCGTGGGTTTCCAGAAGGATACATGATGTGACAATTAACAGAGGGTGAAAATCCTAGAAAATGAAAGAGTCTCAAAAAATGAAAAACTGTGGGTTTTCAAGACCGATAATTGTAGATTTCTGCAATTGCAAACAAGGAGGAATGTATATAGAAAAGAGAAGTGAGCAGGTATTTGGTATTTCTTAGAAAAAAGTGTCCTGGGCTCTAAGCTGGGGCTTCACTAAGGTAACCATGTGGGCGTTAGAGATGATCCCACTCCCCGTGTGTATTTGGGGCTGCTCCCCCCTCCCCCCCCAGAGGCAGGTCAGTTTAGAGAGCAAGAAGCCCCGGGTTCAGGACTCGCTCATTCCAGTGGATGCAGATGGCGAGTCGTCCGTTACTTACCTGCTTTAAACAGTAATGTATTAACAGAAAATCTGAGTTCCAGTAAGGCCAGCAGGTCAGAGGATGGCTGCCGCTCACAGTTCCTAGGCGAGGGACCACCAAGTCGGGTGGAGGGCACACAGGACAGCACCAGGCTCAGCAGGGGGAGACGGAGGGGGAAAGGTGGGCAGGACCCTTTCCTGTGGCTTCTGCCGGAAGAAACTGATGAGAAGAAGGGTGAGCAGGCCGCTGGTTGGCTCGTTTGAATGATCTCAGTGGCCCTGGGGCAGGCGGGTTGCCCCTGGCTGCCTGGTGCCTGCCCGGGGGTGATGAGAACAGGAGGATGGTGACCTTGTCCCTCCGGGCTCAGCAAGGTCCCGAGATGTCAAAGCATCAGAAACACAGAAAATAAAAGACCTGGTTAGTTTCCCTCCGCCCTGACTAAGCCCCCTGCAGAAACAGAGACCCCGAGGACTGGGGCATCGCGTAAGCACAGTCAGCTCCGATCCCCACAGTCCCCCAGGCGACCCTCTCCTCACCCCACATGCAGATTGGGATTTGTTCGTAAAGCCCTCAGCTGGTTTAACCTTTTCCAGCGCGTGTAGCACAGGAACACACACACACACACACACACACACAGATTCTGCCCCACAAGCTTCTGAATTAAGACTCATCCAACCCCGTCTTGGCCACGTAGCCTGTAAATCTTGTCAGACCAAGAACTTTGGAATCTGATACCTACCAGGTTTCAGCCAGAAGGTCCATTTTAACATCTTGTTACACTTATTTGAGGGTCATTTTTTGCGTCCTCGTAAAACACCGAGAATGGTGTCTGGCCCAAGTTGCTGGGTCTGTGAGGGCCGAGCGGCTGTGCTGTCCCCTGGTGACACTGCTGTTAGTGCTACTAAGATTACCGCTATTTGTCGAGGGGCTCTGGATGAGCCAGCGCACATCTGCAGGGCTCAGAGCTCCTGGCACAGCGCCAGGCAGTGCAGCCGCTACAGCGAGAAAGCCCCGTTTGCAAGACCCTATCTTAAAGATTAGATCTGTGGGCCTCCCCCTCCCCCTCAGGTGACGCGATTTTCCTCGGAGGTAACCCATCCGTCACAAACGTCTCTGCGTCTTTGAAGTGTCTATTTTCCTGTTTTTGACTCTATTTGCCTTGCTTTAAGAGAACATAGGCTCAAGAAGGAAAACCTACACTTTATGCAGCTAAGGAAAAAAAAATGTGTTCCTAGAGTTTCACTTTCCAAGTCGATAATACTGATGCCAGTTCTTTACAGGTTTTGACACACTGCTCATCACGATTAGCTTTGTCATTACTGCTTATTAATTTGTATTAAACAGGAGAATCCCCGCATATCCAGAAATAAGCACACTCTTCCTGGAGACCACAGCTAAGCACCGGCTGGCGGTGGAAGGCAGGCGCTGGTTCTCGGTGTCGCTTGACTGGTGAGCAGCTCGGGGACACAGTGCCCGCCCCCCGGAGCCGTCGTGCACCAGCTCGCCCTGTGCGCTTTGTCGGGGGGTGTGGCTGAGCCCCCCTCGGGGGCCTCTGTGACTTGTGGAACCTCCGCACCGGCTGCCCGAGCGGCTGACTCCAGGCACAGCACCGAGCAGAGGAGTGGATTCCTGGGAACCCTTGGGACGCGAGGAAGGCCCAGCAGAAATGACACGTGATTACGTGTTAGAAGCCAAAGACGCGTGTGCGAGTGGAACCCAAGAACGGAATGAGCTAGCTGTGCCTGGAGGACTGGACAGCCGGCCAGTTCCAGCATCTCGGTCCGAGTCCTGGGCAGAACCCGGCAGAACTGTGCCACGCCTCGCTCCGCTCCTGCCGGTCTGTGGGAGACGCTGGGCGGCCAGGCCAGTATTTCCACGAGATGCAGTGGCCAAGTGGGCTGTATCTGGGGCGCAGGCTCCCCACGTGGGAGGTTCCAGCTTGTCCAGGCCATGGCAGACGTCAGGTGGGGCTGGGAGAGGCACGCTGTCCCCGGTGCCTGAGGAGCTCGCGTGCGGGGGAGATCTGCTCTCTGCATCTGAGTGCCTTCAAAGGATCCGTTTTTAAGATGTGGCAAAATAAGATTTAGTATCTCTTGAGAATAACTCCTGAACAACTGGATTTTCCAAACACAGGCTGATACACGGGCCCTGATCGCTCGTCATCACCAGCGGGGCGGGGTCGGGGGGACAGTTTGTGCGGAAACAGTGAATGCAATTTCGAAAATTGGAGGAAGGGGAACTAGACAGGCCGACCTACGAACTCAAGGGCTTTTCAGTCCTTGGCTCCTAAACTCGGCGAGTGACATCCTACGTAAAACGTGCTGTTTCTCTGCCAGCGTCCACGAAAACCCGGGGGCCGGGCGGGCACGCTCGGCCGGAGAAGCACCCCCGCCCGCACTTGCCCTCAGGAGCTGGAGGGGCCGAGGCCGACCCCCGCGAGGGGAGGCTGGGCCCCGTGGGAAGGCGCTCGCCGCTGTGAGTCACCTTCTCTTTTCTAAAATTCTGTAAAAGCGCCGGGTTCACTTAATGCCTGAAAACGGCCCAGCCTTTCAGCAGAGCGCTCTGTGGGCTGGGCTGGCTTCCCACAGCCAGAAGGGATCCCAAAGCAGCGTCCAGCGCAGGGGGCTTCTAGTTCGCTCCAAGCACCCCTTCTGGAGGGGGTCCCCCAGGGGCCCGTAAGGTGGCG